CTACAACAACAACAATACACACATATGCATACATATATAACCGTAGGAATAGTTCAGGATCTGTTTTTCTTTCACATGTGCTTTCCAGTCAAGTCTGATTGGGTGCCATGCCCCGGCATCGCCTCTATCCCCGAGGACCTCACTGCTCTGCTCCCTCTGCTGCTCTGATGCATGCTCCCAGGGGCTGTAAGCCGCCTTTTTTAATCTCTTGACTGTGTTGATGTTAGGTGCCATGAAATCGGTTCCAACACATAGAATCATGAATATACCACCGTGAAACACTGCCTGGTGCAGGACCAGCCAGCCCCCCAGTGTTTCAGTCCATTGTTACAGCTACTGCCAACCCTTTTTTGCTGCCCCTCCACCCTACCAAACTGGATGGCAGTTTTCAGGGACTGTTGTGTCCTGACAACATGTTGGAACACAAGTGTCAACATGCAGGGAACCTGGCCTACAAACCAGAGGATGCCTGTGGGCTTCGCATTCAGATAGTCAAGCTGATGTGCCTTCTAATGTCTGCAATGTGAGCTAATAAGGAGTGGGCCATCTCAAGGGCTGGTGTGTAAGTTTTCTAGGATTCTTGCACAGTTTAACAGCCAAATCCACTGTGTTTCAGCGAACTTCTGGAAAGTTTATCTACTTTTTCACAATCAGCCAACACACAAGCATGCTTGCTATTATGATGCTCCACATATTGTGCTCTTTGTTAGCATATAACATTAGTGTGTGTTTGTGTGCCTGTTTATGTGTCTGTTGGGGGGAGTATTCGATAATCATTGCAGTACAGTAGCTCTGTGCCTCAGAGTGTGAAAACTGATGACCTCCGTATTCTCTTTTTAAGTATCTTTCACCTCTGCCCTGTTTATCTTTCCAATTCCCCGGTCTGTCTCCACAAAGCTACAGACTGCACAGTAGCACACGTATAGTTACTGATAAGCAGATGTCTAACATAGAAACTCTATAGAAAATTCCACAATTGCTCAAAATAACCATCTCTGTTCAGCAGCTCAAATGTCAGCTCTTTATCAGCTTCAGTTCTTCAAAGACGATACCATGAGTTCAAGGCTTTGGGTCGACATTTTCTTAGTTCAAGTCTCCTATGCCTAATGAGGGGCAAGATGAGAAAATGGAAATTATCCACTGCTTACTAATTGTTACTTTGCTTTCACCCTATGCTGCGTGGTTTGATAAATACTCTTGTTTGGTCATGTGTAAGGAGGTGAGGCCCCCTCCATTGGAGGAGACGGAATGGATGTGAAAATCGGGCTTTTATTTTAGAGCACTTTCCCTGCTCTGTGTCATGTGTTCTGACTAATGTGGGCCAGTAAAGATAGAGAGGAATAGGGAGCTGGTCACAGACAATCTGTGGAGAGAGAAGGTCATTGTGCTCGAAGAGATGTCCAGTCCGTGGGATGGCGGGCAATGAGAGAGGAAGTGAGTCTAGACAGTGATGGGATGAGGTTCATAGCTCACCCCGGTGGTCATCCATAGCAGAACAGAGAACCCTGTGTCTGATGTCCATGACGTCTCAGTGCACAGGACTGTCCTCCTCCCCCTCCATTCACCTATTGGAGTTCACGGTACCTTGCTGTTTCAGGACGCCGTGACTGTTGAAGACGTGGTTGTGGACTTTTCCCCAGAAGAGTGGGCCTTGCTGGATCGTTCTCAGAGGAAACTCTACAGACACGTGATGATGGAAACTTTCAGAAACCTGGCCTCAGTAGGTATGGATGCTTTCCTCTTTTCAAATGTATAGTGATCCAATAAGTCATACCATTGATATTAGTCCAGTATGTGGTCTGAGTAATGAGAATACATTGTTATAGAAGACAATCATAACCATTTGCTCTCAGCAACATGCCTATCATGGCTTCCCCCTGAATATAAAGCTTAGTATTAAACTCACTTCTCATTTCCATTGTGACAGAGAACCTTAAATGTAAGTGTAATAAATATAAACATTCATTTCACTGCAGCACAGATGTTTTTTTCTGTGGCTTGTGAAGACTGTTTATTACAAGTTGAACATGATAATTTTTTAAATCATTTTATTGGGGGCTAGTACAACTCTTATCACAATCCATACATACATCCATTGGGTCAAGCACATTTGTACATTTGTTGCCATCATCATTTTCAAAACATTTGCTTTCTACTTGAGTCCTTGGTATGAGCTCCATATTTTTTCACCTTCCGCCCCGCCCTGCCCATGAACCCTTGATAATTTATAAATTGTTAATATTTTATCATGTCTGACACTGTCCAGCATCGTTCTTCACCCACTTTTCTGTTGTCCATCCCCCAGGTAGGGGGTTATATGTAGATCTTGTAATCAGTTCCCCCTTTCTACCCCACCTTCCTTCCACCCTCCTGGTATAGCCACTCTCACCACTGCCCTGAGATGTTCATCTGTTCTGGATTCCCTGTGTTTCCAGTTCTTATATGTACCAGTGTACATCCTCTGGTATAACCAGATTTATAAGAGGATTGGGATCATGATAGTAGGGGGAGGAAGCATTTAAGAACTAGAGGAAAGATGTATGTTTCATAGTTGCTACGCTGCACCCTGACTGGCTCATCTCCTCCCCATGACCCTTTCTGTAAGGGGATGTCCAGTCGCTTCCAGGTGGGCTTTGGGTC